CTTCACACTTGCGGATTTCCTGGAATATTTCTGACTGAATGCACTTCAGTTGTGGATAGAAGAGTCCGCGATACTGACTGGACACCGGATTCTCCCCCAAGGTCGTTACAGGGAATAATGTGTTACACGTCACTTCAAGGGACCTGAAAAATACAGGAAAAGCTGGTGATATAGAGTAAAAACGAGCTAAAAAGCCTTATGGTTCACTATGCCACTGGAGTAGTGTTGAACAAAATGTATGAGACAATGCCGTGCGAAAAAGAACTCAGAAAGTACAGTCACGTGGAAGGTGACGTAAATGGTTGCAGCCAGAGGGTAATCAGACAACCTGGCTCTCAATCTAACGTTGAGCTAACGATTCATCTCGCCGTTTAGAAAGTCAAGCAATGAAACAAAGCCGGTGACTCGAAACTTACTACTGAGTTTAACGGCACCTTAGCAACAGATATCGCGAACAGCCTTGGAGCCGATTGGTCCTTTCTCAAAACAAAGTCGCAGCAGAGGATCGCTGAATAAAATTTAGCTCCTAACTATTCTGCATCAGCAGACAGCTTATTTATCGTACTCTCCGGTGCAGATCACTAATGGCTTGCACCTTCAGTTCACAACAGTCACAGAGCATTCGTTGAACCGGAAGGGAATTTAATATACGCCGTAATCTCCTTGATAATTCTACTCTTCTATAGACCACCCACAACGAAAGCTTCCAATCATCTTTCGTCAGGACTTTCCATCTTTGTATAAACCCATCGTTTCGCTCCATTCCATGAAGTACCATTTACTCGACAGTCATAGTGAACAACCGTGAATGATGCGTCAATTCTCTGTAACACGACTTGTGAGGCATCGGACAATGCATCGATGGATTTTCAACTGTTCAACGTCCGGTGAGAAAGGGCTCAAAAACTTAAAGCAAGAAGCACACTGGTTACTCGTTTAGGTCCCCTCACATTGCATTGGACAACTTCAGGCTAGACATGCCCCTTCCTGTTGCTACTCTGTAGTAACTGTATTTTCCTCAGCTGAGTTTTCGGTCTGAGCCTCACAAGGTGGGATTTACGTCAAAACAACCACCAAAGGTGCGCAAGGTCTATTAATGCGCAAAACGAAGTCAAGAACAGTTGTACAGCGCGTCGTATATATAGCGTAGGCGATTATTACTTTCTGGAATTTCTGATGCGTTCTGGATGCGACATGGGCAACCGGTATTTGGCCAATACTGGGTCATGATTGGCTGCTGGGTCCAAATTCTCGACCAATCAGATCTCGTCTTGATACCGGACCGGCAAGCGTACCGAATTCTTGGCCAGTCTCGTGCGGGCTAGGGTTATCGGACGTAGCAGCGCCTGAAGAAGTGCGGTATAGCGGGATCCGCGTGGATTCCTGCCTAACATACTCCTCCCTTCTCACCTGATGTATACATCATTCACCTATATACGGTTGTTCATTGTTGAGCATTCATATACCACACTGGAAGCCTAAAAACTGGTGTCACAAATATCAGTGAGGCCTGGATACCAACAAGTGATGGTTCAGTTCAGATTGCTGGATAAACTCTTAAGATGCTGATCCCCCACTGCCACAAAAGGTGAATATGACTGACATTAGGGCCTGTGTAGCCGATCGACGTATTCCAGTTACTATTAGAAACAGTAGCTCTGCGTCGATGTTCCTGCCTACATACTCCTCCCTTCTCACCTGATGTATACATCATTCACCTATATACGGTTGTCCATTGTTGAGCATTCATATACCACACTGGAAGCCTAAAAACTGGTGTCACAAATATCAGTGAGGCCTGGATACCAACAAGTGATGGTTCAGTTCAGATTGCTGGATAAACTCTTAAGATGCTGATCCCCCACTGCCACAAAAGGTGAATATGACTGACATTAGGGCCTGTGTAGCCGATCGACGTATTCCAGTTACTATTAGAAACAGTAGCTCTGCGTCGATGAAACAGGAAACGGATAAAACATGGCAAAATCAAGACCCTCTAAAGACAAATGGCTAGTAAGTGTTTATACGGCCAGTCTACAGACAGTTCATCGAATGCAAACGCAAATACACAGACAAACATGTTATGTGTCACACGTCGTAACTCCCTGGGGGTCCAACTCAAAACTATTTGGAATTATGTTGATTTCTTTATCCAACAATATTCCCCGTAGTCTTTCTCTCTACCCCGACAGTATGGTTATTCGTCGCTAAAAATGAGACTGGATTCGACTGTTGTAACTGCCTTATAAAAGAGGAATCGTCACTCTAAACACTGACTAAATGGCTACAAGTACAGAGGACATATCTTAGTTACGGTCACCAGCGTAACGGTGGATACTACTGATGTGGGAGGCATGCGAGTAGTATGTTTTCTCGTAAATCCGCGTTGTGCCCCCTGAAAAGTGAGATCTATTACGGAATTTGTGGAGTCGCTTTGTAGCATTTACTTCGATTTGAGAAACAATCAATGAATATCCAGGAAAGTTCAGGAAGACGCGTTCAAGGAGAAGATGGATGTTCAGTTTTTGTAGACAAGATGCATATTGCCTCCCTGCCCATAGTCTGTAACTGCTCAGTTGCTGTAAACAACTCCGCGTCGAAGACCTTCTTCCTTTCACCAGTAATCTGAGAAACCAGTTATAACTAACGACCGAGTGATTCTTAATCCTTTTTTTAGCCGGAACCAAAAAATTGATTGGACTGCTAGGTTTGACAGGAAAATAACCTTTCGTAGCAACTTTTACAGAAACAGACTAAATCGGCAACTATATTTCACGATTTTATTTCTGGCGGATGTTTTTTCCGACCCGGTTTTGCGACTATGGGTAAAAATTTTCCAGTGTACTGCTTTCCTGTACATCAAAGATGGGGCGCGGTGGCAGAATTGGCGTTGGTGCTGAGGACAGGACGTAGATCTCACCTGAGTTTCGCATCGATGTCTTTCCAGCGATCCTGAATGCTTGCCGACCGACCTCCTGGATGAAGTCCACGGGCTTGCTTACGCTGAAGCCGACGAAATAAATCGCTGTAATCAATAAAAAAATCAATGTTTGCAAAAACAGTATCCTCGAAGGAACGTTGATAAACATCAAACTGGTAGTTTCATTCAATACTGACTTTCGGTGAGCTCCAGGTTTCTGAAATAGCTATCGTCAGACCATATCAGCAGTAAAGTGGAGAACCATAATCTGGTTCTTCCTGGTTTTTCCTTCATGCGGCTATCCTTTAAGGCTTCCTCTGTCAATTTTAAACTATACTTCCCTATGAGTAAGGTGGGTGTTGAATTTAGCCTAGACACA